AGTAGATGGCAGTGCTGCCAACAGCAGTAGCAGCGGCAGCGGCAGCAGCAGTGGCGACGGTGGCAGCATATTGACTCCTCCGTCCACACCAGAGGCACTGCTACCACCAGCGGTGTCAGTGCCTTTACCGGAATTGCGACAAGACTGGTGCGTCAGCGATTGTGCTTGCGTTTTATATTTATGGGCATATGTGTGTGTTTGTGTGTGTGGGTGGGGGGCGGGGGGGAGCGGGGTGGGGGGGGGGCGGATTTGGGAGCAGTCATATTGAGAGAGCATAGCCTCTGCTGCGGGATCTGATTGCAGGGTGTATTTTTGGGTATTCTCCACTCCACAGCCCCTGTTCCCCCACTCCCTCTCCCCTCTCCAATCATCCTCTCCTTCAAATCCTCCTCTCCCTCTGCTGTTGTGTCTCTCTCGCACGGTCGGCCTTTGCCCTTGGTGTTTTCCTCTCCATTTGCAGTTTCCTGTCTTGCACCAACACCCTCACCACCAACTCCCACCACCCCCCTCCCCACCACCGCCACCACCACCACCACCACCACCACCACCACCACCACCACCACCACCACCACCACCACCACCATGCGCGTGCCAAACCTCACAACGCAACCATGCTCATAACCCCCCACCCTCCGTCACCAACCCCCCATCGCCACCACTCCCCATCACCACCCCTCATTCCCCCCCACACCCATCTCCACCTCACCAGGGGTCGCAACATGACGCAGCAGCAGAAGGAGGCAGAGGAGCGCGCCAAGGTGCAGAGCGGTGCGTGCAGCGAGTTCAAGCTGGTGTACCGCGGGGGGTGGCGCCAGGGACAGCTGGCCTGGGTGCCACAACCCGACCGCTACTTGCTGCTCGACTGCCACAAGCACCAGGTGAAGGGGGGGTTTGTGGAGGGGGAGAGGGGAATCGCCGGGAGGGGCATGTGGGTTGGGGTCCGGACCACAGCGCAGGTCGGCATGGCCGCATGGGTATGTGGAAGAGTACTCTCGTGGTCGGCATGGCCGCATGGGTATGTGGAAGAGTACTCTCGTGGTCGGCATGGCCGCATGGGTATGTGGAAGAGTACTCTCGTGGTCGGCATGGCCGCATGGGTATGTGGAAGAGTACTCTCGTGGTCGGCATGGCCGCATGGGTATGTGGAAGAGTACTCTCGTGGTCGGCATGGCCGCATGGGTATGTGGAAGAGTACTCTCGTGGTCGGCATGGCCGCATGGGTATGTGGAAGAGTACTCTCGTGGTCGGCATGGCCGCATGGGTATGTGGAAGAGTACTCTCGTGGTCGGCATGGCCGCATGGGTATGTGGAAGAGTACTCTCGTGGTCGGCATGGCCGCATGGGTATGTGGAAGAGTACTCTCGTGGTCGGCATGGCCGCATGGGTATGTGGAAGAGTACTCTCGTGGTCGGCATGGCCGCATGGGTATGTGGAAGAGTACTCTCGTGGTCGGCATGGCCGCATGGGTGCCACAGCCCGACTGCTACTTGCTCCTGGACTGTCACAAGCACCAGATGAGGGAGGGAGGAGGGCGGAGTGAGTTGGGGGAGGAGTTGCAGCGCGACCGCTACATGCTCTTGGACTGCCAAAAGGACCAGGTGAGAAGCGGTTGGGGGGGGTGGGGGGAGGGGGTGGAGGGTGCGGAACGGAAGGCCGGCTTGCGTGCATGGGGTATAGCACGGGTCTGGGGGTTACGCCAGGGGCAGCTGGCCTGGGTGCCTCAGCCCGGCTGCTACTTGCTCCTGGACTACCACAAGCACCAGGTTGGGGGAAAGGAAAGGAGTGGGGAAGAAGGGCGGAGTGAGGGGAAGGTGGGAATGGGTGCGTGGGGACTCGTGGGGCACAGAGGCTAAGGGAGGAGTGGGTGCCGCAGCCTGACCACTACATGCTCCTGGACTGCCACAAGCTCCAGGTGAATGGGGGGGTGTGGGCAAGGGTGGGCGGGAATACTGGGCATGGGTGCATGGGAAATAGTGGGGCTCGGGGGTTGGGGAAGGGAATGGATGTTGCAGCCTGACCGCTACTTGCTCTTGGACTGCCACAAGCACCAGGTTGGGGGGATGTGGGGGGATGTGGGGGGATGTGGGGGGATGTGGGGGGATGTGGGGGGATGTGGGGGGATGTCGGGGGATGTGGGGGGATGTCGGGGGATGTGGGGTGGGGGGATGTGGGGTGGGGGGATGTGGGGTGGGGGGATGTGGGGTGGGGGGATGTGGGGTGGGGGGATGTGGCAGCTGGCCTCCAGCAACCGTGTGCGGTGCTTGAGGCACAGCATGATAGCAGCGGGCATGCTCAACCGCTCACTCCTCGTGCCGCTAGCTATGCCCCATTCTTTTGTCAATTTCGGAAATTCCTGTACCAGCGTTCGTCAACATTTCTCCTTCCATCCTCCCCTCCTCCCCTCCCTCCCTCTCTTTCTCCCCAACAACCCCCACAGCTGAGCAACTGTGTGCGGTGCATGAGGCACAGCATGATAGCAGCTGGTATGCTATCAACTGAGCAGCTGTGTGCGGTGCATGAGGCACAGCATGATAGCAGCTGGTATGCTATCAACTGAGCAGCTGTGTGCGGTGCATGAGGCACAGCATGATAGCAGCTGGTATGCTATCAACTGAGCAGCTGTGTGCGGTGCATGAGGCACAGCATGATAGCAGCTGGTATGCTATCAACTGAGCAGCTGTGTGCGGTGCATGAGGCACAGCATGATAGCAGCTGGTATGCTATCAACTGAGCAGCTGTGTGCGGTGCATGAGGCACAGCATGATAGCAGCTGGTATGCTATCAACTGAGCAGCTGTGTGCGGTGCATGAGGCACAGCATGATAGCAGCTGGTATGCTATCAACTGAGCAGCTGTGTGCGGTGCATGAGGCACAGCATGATAGCAGCTGGTATGCTATCAACTGAGCAGCTGTGTGCGGTGCATGAGGCACAGCATGATAGCAGCTGGTATGCTATCAACTGAGCAGCTGTGTGCGGTGCATGAGGCACAGCATGATAGCAGCTGGTATGCTATCAACTGAGCAGCTGTGTGCGGTGCATGAGGCACAGCATGATAGCAGCTGGTATGCTATCAACTGAGCAGCTGTGTGCGGTGCATGAGGCACAGCATGATAGCAGCTGGTATGCTATCAACTGAGCAGCTGTGTGCGGTGCATGAGGCACAGCATGATAGCAGCTGGTATGCTATCAACTGAGCAGCTGTGTGCGGTGCATGAGGCACAGCATGATAGCAGCTGGTATGCTATCAACTGAGCAGCTGTGTGCGGTGCATGAGGCACAGCATGATAGCAGCTGGTATGCTATCAACTGAGCAGCTGTGTGCGGTGCATGAGGCACAGCATGATAGCAGCTGGTATGCTATCAACTGAGCAGCTGTGTGCGGTGCATGAGGCACAGCATGATAGCAGCTGGTATGCTATCAACTGAGCAGCTGTGTGCGGTGCATGAGGCACAGCATGATAGCAGCTGGTATGCTATCAACTGAGCAGCTGTGTGCGGTGCATGAGGCACAGCATGATAGCAGCTGGTATGCTATCAACTGAGCAGCTGTGTGCGGTGCATGAGGCACAGCATGATAGCAGCTGGTATGCTATCAACTGAGCAGCTGTGTGCGGTGCATGAGGCACAGCATGATAGCAGCTGGTATGCTATCAACTGAGCAGCCGTGTGCGGTGCATGAGGCACAGCATGATAGCAGCTGGTATGCTATCAACTGAGCAGCTGTGTGCGGTGCATGAGGCACAGCATGATAGCAGCTGGTATGCTATCAACTGAGCAGCTGTGCGCGGTGCATGAGGCACAGCATGATAGCAGCTGGTATGCTATCAACTGAGCAGCTGTGTGCGGTGCATGAGGCACAGCATGATAGCAGCTGGTATGCTATCAACTGAGCAGCTGTGTGCGGTGCATGAGGCACAGCATGATAGCAGCTGGTATGCTATCAACTGAGCAGCTGTGCGCGGTGCATGAGGCACAGCATGATAGCAGCTGGTATGCTATCAACTGAGCAGCTGTGTGCGGTGCATGAGGCACAGCATGATAGCAGCTGGTATGCTATCAACTGAGCAGCTGTGTGCGGTGCATGAGGCACAGCATGATAGCAGCTGGTATGCTATCAACTGAGCAGCTGTGTGCGGTGCAGCTCAACCGCACGCTAGTCGTGTCGTGCCCATGCGCGCGCCCCTCGCGGCAATAGCTCCCCCCTTTCGACCTACCTTCTGTCTCATTTCGGGTTCCCTGTACCAGCCTTTGTCAACACTTTTTTCCTCCCTTGTTTCCTCCCTCCTCTCCTTCCATCCTCCCCTCCTCCCTTCCTCCCTTCCTCCTCTTCTTCCACCCTCCTCTCCCTCCTCTCCCCCTCTCGCAGCTGAGCAACCGAGTGCGGTGCATGAGGCACAGCATGATAGCAGCGGGCATGCTCAACCGAACGCTAGTCGTGCCCATGCGCGCACCCCTCGTGCCGCGCCACTACGACCGCCGCGCCTTCCTGCACCTGCCGCACGCTCACCGCTGCTACGGCCCCCTCTCTGTCATCTCCTGGGAGGAGCTCCTGGGGAGGATGCGCGCAGGGGGAGGGGGAGGAGAAGGGGTGAGTGGAGGGGCGGGGGAAGCGGTGGGTGAAGAGGCCGTGAGTGGTGGTGCTGGGGGGAACGGCAATTCCAGCCACAGTGTGGACAGCAGCACCGGTGGAAACGCCAACAGCAGCAGTAGTATTATTAACAGCAGTGCCACGACTGACAGTGGGACTGCTATCCCTCCCAGCAGCACCAGCGGCAACAGCAGCAGCAGCGGGGCAGTGCTAGACCAAGTCATCTGCATTCGAGAGCAGTGCTATAACCAACCCGGCTGGGGCTCTCCAGACCGCTTCCCAAGCCTCCCAGGCCTCTCCCTCTCCCCCACACTCACCATCACCACCGCCCCCTTCCCCCCCGGACCCATAGACACGCGTGCCTTCACCAACCTCTCCTCTCTCATACACCCCTCCTCCCGCATCATTGTGATGGGAGATCTGGCTGCTATCAACCTGGAGGGGCCTCGGGGAATGGACGTTCCGTTCTTTACACTCCCGGGGTGTGGGAACACCCTGGCTATACACCCGCATCCGGCGATTCTGGAAGCTGCGGACCGGTTTGTCCGGGGGGTGATTCTTGGTGGAAAGAGGCGGTGGTGGGAGAGGGGAGAGGAGAAGGAGGCAACGGGCTTGAATACGAGTGCGGATGACTCTAGGGGGGAGGCTGAAAGTGGCAGCAATGCGAGCAATGAGAGCAACGGAAGCAGTGGGAGCAGCAGAGCGAGCAACAGGACGCTGTGGGCGGTGGGGGACAGTGCAGCGGACGAAGCAGCAGGTGTGGCGCGGTACATAGCGGTGCACTGGCGGCGCACAGACCTGGTGCAGCTGTCCAGGGACCCCTGGGTGCACCTCCCTGTGCCCCGCGTGGGGGCGTGCCTCGTGCACCGCATGCGGCTGTCTGGGAATATTACACGGATGTTCCTGGCTACAGACACGGATGAGGGAGAGGTGTGTGAGTGGTGGGATGGGATGGATGCGTGGGCTTTTTTCTTTTTGAGTCGACTCGAAAGCACACGAGGCTGTCTGGGAATATCACCAGGATGTTCCTGGCTACAGACACGGATGAGGGCGAGGTGAGCAGTGGGTTTTATGGGTCTGTGGGCTGGTTGCTTTTTGAATTGACTTGAACAGCGCATGCCCCTGCCTGGGAGTATTTCCAGGGTGTTTCTGGCTACATACACGGATGAGGGAGAGGTGAGTGAATCATGGGATGGGTGTGTGGGCTGGTGGTTGACTTGGTTGGTTGACTGCTTGCTCTGTTTTTGGTGCAGGAGCATTGGGGTTCAGTTCTGGGTTGATTCGAAAGGAACAAAGCAGGGGATGTGGCAAGTGTTGTGAAGCAGTCTCATGGGTGGTTGGATGCGCTCCCAGCCAGGTTCAGGTGCCGTGCCGTGTGTGGGGCCCATGCTGTGCTGATGAGCGAAACAGCCTTTTGTGGCGAGAACGAGAAGAAAGGCCCTGCAGCACACATTGCCAACATCTGTTGGTCCTCAGTCCTGATCCCCTTGTCACCAGTCAATCAGCGGTGAGAGGAGGGGATGCTCTGAGGTCAGGGTGCTAGCTATTAGAGGGGTGACGTTTATCAGGTCAATGCATGGTAGCATGCTTGGAAGTAGGCGAGGCAGCAGAGTTATTAGTTGCAGGCATGGCAGCAGGCTCGGAAGCAGACATCCGGCATTAAGCGCAAACCAGGCACGTGTGTTTGCCATCTTTGTTCCGCATCCCTGTTCTTGATCTCACCACACCACTATGTCTCTGCTCCTGTGCTGTGCCGTTCCCTTGATGTGGACTGTACCACTCTCATCTCAGGTAGAAGCACTGGTGAAATTCATCAAGGAGCAGATTCCATCCTTTCAACTCTTTAGACTGCCCGAAACATTAGATTCCCAACCATGGGCTGATGTGATTAAGCCGTTTGAATTTGATGATGATGTAACAGTGCGAGCTACACTAGACAAGGCGATATGTGCAATGGCGGATGTGTTTCAGGGCACGCATGCATCATCCTTTTCAAGTGATATAACGAGGATTAGAGCAGGCCTGAGATTGTCGTCTTGTGAGGATTCTTTGCTGTGTGAAGATAAAATTCATGAATCTAGATGAACCTGTTATGTATTGGTTTATTCATAGTGTACCATCCAGTGTCAGACTAAAGGAGGACCGTGGGTACTCTATGGAAATGTTAGAGGTGTTCTTTTTGCAGTGCAGCCAGATCCATAAATTCAAATCGAGACTTCGTTTAGCGGAGCAGTGTTGGTGGGATGGTACAACCCAATCCGCCAATGGACTGGGTGGCTGTCCTTCGCCCTCCTCCCTTGCTCCCTCTTCCTCTCCGCATCCTCCTGTTTCGCGCCGTTCGATGCAACCGCAGGTGTGTCCACTCAACTAGCGCTCTTGCTACTTCACACGGATCAGGAACTCGGCATTATTTTCAACAACGCGCACGGGCCCCCCAGCCACGCAAATGGCGAAGCGCAAGCCGTCGCACGAACCAGGATATCCCGGTGGCGACGGTGGCGACACTTCTGGCGAAGAGCCTCATCCGCTCTTTCCCGATTCGACCCCTTCCGCTGGCCATGCGCCGTCCTCTTCCCCCTCTCAGCTTCTGCGAAGCGAGCAGCGTCGCCCTGGTCTCTTAGCCTACCACCCCCCTCCCCCGCACGACTCGATTGATTTCCTCGCGTTCCTGGATCGCACGCCGCCATGCGACGTCGCGCGCCTCTTTCGCGAGCTCTTGCGCGACCTGGCGATGCGAAACCTGCGCGACTTCCACTTGAGGATCGACGGCGAGTCGCGCGGGCGCGGTGGGGGGCGGGGAGGAGGCGGAGGAGGGCGGGGAGGAGGCGGACGGGGATGGGGGGGACGCGGAGGCGGGCGCGGGCGAGACGGGGGCAACGGGGGCTATCACTCTCATCACAGGAGCCAGGTTCCGCCGTTCAGGGGGGGGCGGGCAGGCGGGGAATTTCCGCCAGGTGGCGGGGGCGGAAGGTGGGGCGCAGGCGGGGGCGGGGGCACAGGCGGAGGCGCAGACGGAGGCGCAGGGTGGGGCGCGCAAGAGCAGAGGGCGTTTGCGGTGGAGGTGATGTATGGGGAGCAGCACGAGGGGCCCGTGGCCGTGGACGTGCCACAGGGCTGCATCGCCTGTAACCCCCTCGCACCGCTCTTCACCACTGGCTCTGGCGCTGCTGCTGGCGGTGACCAAGGGGCGGGCGCAGGCACAGGCGCAGGCGGAGAGTCAGGAAGAAGCGCGGAGAAAATCGCGCGGACGTCAGGGGAATTCGGGAATGGTGGGAATGGTGGGGATGGTTCCAGGGCGGTGAGTGACGAGCAACGAGATGGGCGAGAGGAAGAGGAGAAGGGTGACAAGGGAGACCCAGCGGGGACAGCAGCGGCAGCAGCAGCAGCAGCAGCAGGAGCATCAGAGGCGGTAGCAGCTGAAGCAGCAGCAGAGGGGGAAGCAGGAGCTGCAGCAGCAGCAGCAGGAGGAAGCAGCGACGCAGTGATGACATCAGGCGACTTGATCCTACGCGAGTACGAGGCCAGCCAGCCCCACGTGCGCGTGTCCCTGGACGCACAGGGCCGCGCAGGGCTCATCATAACCCCCGTTCGCCACGTCGAGTCTCTAACCGACCTCACCGACTCGGAACTATATGAGTTTTTCCACACAGCAGCCGCTGCAGTGCAGAGAGAGAAGGTCGTGTTCTCACGCATGGTGGTGAACCACGGGTCGTACCGCAACCTGCCGCATCTGCACCTCAAGGTGTTTCTAGACGAGGGGTCGTTTGAGGAGGCGAAGCGAGGGTGGGAGGGGGAGCGGGTGGCGATGTGGGAGAGGCTGCTGCGGCTGCGGCCCGCCAAGACTGCGTTTTTGTGTAAGGCGTTTGCAAGAGGGAGGTGCCGGTTTGGGAGCAATTGTAGGAACTTGCACAGTACGGGTGGGTCTAGTTAGCTCAATTTCAGTTCAGCTGTTTACCAGGGTTGGCGATTCAAGGACAAAAAGTGCCTACCTTCCGGACCATGTTTAGTCTCGTGGTCGTTTTTAGAAAGGTACCGTATGTGCAGGGTGTGATGACAACCCGTTTCTCGTATGGGCTGAATTTGGCAAATGTCACGTTTCGGGAGTTCATACCGAACCAGGCCTTCCACTCATCGTGCTCTACTCGTTGGCCCTAGTGTTGCAGAAGTTTCAGACACAGAAGAGCCAAGGGTTGTGAGAATGACCAATCGAGTCCAATCGCTCACTCTTTCTCCTCTTATTCATCACATGAGTCATGCACAAACGAACTAGGCAATAGCCACACGACGGAGTGGTCCTGGGGTCACGACTATTTCCGGGAAAGCGTCCTGAATGAACCCTTCTACTTCTACTTCTGTCGCAATCATCTGCAAGCACGGAAGGCCCTCGAGCCAGCTCACCCCGCGTGCAGTGATTTTAGCATCCCACAACCCCAGACTCATCAGGAGCTTCATGTTCCTCAGGTACTTCATGCCAGAGTCAGTCACTCCGGGAGGCAAGATGAGGTAATTCAGCGACGTGAGACCAGTGAGATGCATCAGCCCATCCTCCCTCACTCCCCCCTTGTGCAGCGCAAGCTCCTGTAAAGCCGTCAGCCTACCCACATGCACCATACTCGCAGAGGTACCGTAATAGACTCACACCAGCCAAGGTGAAGCTCCGTGAGTGAAGTCAGCCCCTGCAGCCTAGCTATTCCAGCGTCCGTGACCTGGGACTTGTCAAGACTAAGTGCCCGCAGGCTCGTCACACGATCAATACCTTCCAGAGCAGCGTCCGTGCATGAACCGGTGAGATTCAGATGCATGAGCTCGGGCAAGCAGTAGAGCTGCCGCACTCCTGCAGCGGTGAAGCCGGAGGAGTTCCCGAGGTTGAGGGTTTTCAGGTGGCGGAAGGAGGCGAGGCGGGTGAGAGCCGCGTCTGAGAGGCAGGAGATGCGGCTGAGGTCCATTGTTGCCTGCTGCTGCGGGGCTGTTCTGGACCAGAGCGTGAGCAGCACCTGCAAGTAAAGCATGGGTGGGTGGTCAGGAGGGATGAGAGGGATGGGAGGGATGGGAGGGACAAGATGGACTTTGGAGATTCGTGTGTACCACCAGCTTTCCAACATGCTACTGCGCATGCTCCCACGTGCCGCATGCATGTCCAACGCATGCCACATAACCAGTGTCCTGTGTCCCACCATTTTAAAAACATGCACGTCATTTGCCAGAGGTGGCAGCAGCTGTCTCTAAGAAATCAAAAAAAAGCATGCACTCACCTCCCATACCCTCCCTCTGTCGATACTACTCTCCTCCAGCGTAACCACTCTGCCCAGCAGCCCATCTACAGCCGTCTCGAGTCCGTCTACAGCAGCAGACATGGCCGCCTTGATGTCTCCCTCGTCGCATTTTCCATCGGAAGCAACGCGATTGGCAAACAGTGCGCCACCGCCCACAGCAGCAGCATACTCCATCTCCTCCGCCTTCCCCGCCTCCTCCCGCTTCCGCTTTTTCTCCTCGGGCTTCTCCGCTCCTGCGCCATCCTCCGCGCGGTCCATCTCCGCGCGCGCCTTCTCCTGCGCGCTCTTCCACTCCGCCACCGCCAGCTCGACTTCGTTCATCCGCGCCTCCGTATGCGCCGCCGTCGCGCGCACGTACGCCAATTCCGCCGCATGCCGCTCCGCTGCAGCCCTCATCCGCGCAATCTCCGCCTTCACGCGCCCGCCGCGTCTGCCGCCTCCCTCCGCACCGCCTCCACCTGCTCCTTCAACCCCTCCACCTCCGACTCAAACCCACTCCTTACTCCAAGTAACGGCCCTGGCGGGACAATGTTTCTCCGCACAAAAAGCTGCGCCGGGAGGCCGGCCCCTGCTTCCCCTGCCGCTGCGCTCTCCGCCCCGCCCTTGCCCTTCGCCGTCTCCCCGATGCTGCCCCTCTCCAATGCCCCTTTCGCCGCTGCGCCCTTCGCCGCTTCGGCCTTCGCCATCGCGCGTTTCATTTCGTCCATTTCTCGCTTGAGAACAGCCATGGCCTCCTCCTGCTGCGCCAGCTTCGCCGCTACTAACTGCTCTACTCGCGCCTCCATTCCTCCTGTTGCTGTCTCCCTCGCCATTCCACCCGCAACCTCCCCCGGTCGCACCTTCTCTGGCACCGCGCTCAGCATCTGTGCCATGCCTCCCGCCATCGCCATTAGCAATGGCGACTGTACGAATGTGGAATAAGAAAAAAGCACGGTGTCGTCACACAGTACGACTTGTGGGGCAAGTACCAGGGGTGTAGGCGGTTTGAAATTGCTAGAGCTGGCTTGCCTGGCTTCTCGTAAGCATTCCTCCAAGCAGTTTGTGTCGCTGTTATGCGGGCATGACGGAGAGCTGGCTTGCCTGACGGTGTCAGGGGATGCGTCGGAGAGTGCTTGTTTGTGCGGAACTACTAATTTGTTCCGGACTAACTTGTTGCCATGGAATCGAGGTTCCTAAAACACATCCAGCATTGCAGCCCGCGAAACACCGTCACGTTTCCCCGTTTTGGCGATACAGGAGCAGCATATGGCATTGAGCTACGCGTCTCGCATACGGGTCGCTGCGCCACACATCCCGATTATTTCGGGTTGCGGCCTTTTTTCTGAAAGGGTGCTGCACAAACGAGTATAAAACAGTCATTTTCGATAGTGTAAGACATGTTCAAGACATATCAAGCTTGATGTAATCCAATTTCTGAAGGACTACACAGTGCAATTGTAACATATTACAGTACAAAGGTTTGTCAACTACAAGGGTATCTTCTGCTTATTCATCACATTTGTCACACACAACAACAAAAAAAATAGCGTAGCCATACAGCTAAAGTGGCCCTGGAGTCACAACTATTCCTGGGAAAGTGTCCTGAATAAACCCTTCCACTTCTTCTGTGTCTGCTCCAACCTTCTCGAGGCACGGAAGGCCCTTGAGCCAGCTCACACCGCGTGCAGTAACCTTAGCACCCCACAGCCCCAGCGTCACCAGGAGTTTCATACTCTTCAGGTATTTCATGCCCGAGTCAGTCACTCCAGGAGGCAAAGTGAGGTAATTTAGTGAAATGAGGTTCGTGAGATGCAGCAGCCCATCCTCCCTCACTCCCCCCTTGTGCAGTGAAAGCTCCTGTAACGCAGTCAGCTTCCCCACATGCACCATACCGGCAGAGGTAACCGACTCACACCCACCCAGGTGCAGCTCTATGAGTGCAGTGAGCCCCTCAAGCCTACCCTCCCCAAGATCCGTGACCTCACTGTTTTCAAGAGCAAGCGCCCGCAGGCTCGTCACATGGTCAATCCCTTCCAGAGCAGCGTCCGTGCATGAACCCGTGAGATCCAGATGCACGAGCTCGGGCAGGGAGTAGAGCTGCCGCACTCCTGCAGCGGTGAAGCCGGAGGAGTCCTCGAGGGTTACGGTTGTGAGCTGGCGGAACGAGGCAAGGCGAGAGAGTGCCGCGTCTGAGAGGCAGGAGATGCGGCTGAGATCCATTGCGGCCTGCAGCTGCGGGGCTGTTCTCGCCCAGAGCGTGAGGAGTACCTGCGGACGAAGCATGGGTGGGTAGTCAGGAGCGCAGAGGAATGGGAGGGGTGAGAGGGATGAGAGGGGTGAGACGAACAAGCTAACCTTTCGGGGGTTTATGTGTACCACTAGCCTTTCCACATGCTGCTGCACATGCTCCCATGTGCCACATACATGTGCTATTGCACGCCACACAACCAATGCCATTTGTCCAACCAAATGAACAACATGCATGTCCTCGCATGCGCTATTCATGCACACTCTCATGCACGTCACTTGTCACTGGTGGCAACAGTTGCCTCTGGGAGCAAAAAAAAGAAAGAAAGAAAGAACACAAGCGCATGCACTCACCTCCCATAGCCTCCCTCTGTCGATACCACTCTTCTCCAGCTGATCCACTCTGCGCAACAGGCCACCCGTCACCGTCCTCAGTCCCGCCAAGCCAGCGTTCACTTCCCCCTCATCCTGCTGCTTTCCGTCCCAAGCACCGCGATTGGTGATGAGTGCGCAACCGCCCACAGCAGCACGTGCCACCTCCTCCGCCTTCCCCGCATCATCCCGCTTCCGCTTCTTCCCCTCGGGCGTCTCCGCTCCTGCTTGCTCCCCGCGCGTCCCTCCTCCGCGCGCGTCTTCTCCTGCGCGCTCTTCCACTCCGCCATCGCCAGCTCCAAGTCGTTCATCCGCGCCTCCGTGTGCTCCGCCGTCGCGCGCACGTACGCCACTTCCGCCGCATGCCGCTCCGCCGCATCCTTCATCCGCGCAAGCTCCGCCTTCAGCGCCACCGCCGCGTCCGCCGCCTCCCTCCGCGCCGCCTCCACCTGCGCCTTCAACCCCACAGTTCCTGATCGAAACTCAATCCTTACTCTATCAACTTGCTCCCCTATATATTTGTACATATACGGGATAGAATTGATTTGCTCGGAAGGCTGTGAGGGGGGGCTGCCCCCTGCCGCCCCTGCCGCTGCAATCCCCGCCCTCTCCGTGCCCTTGGCCGTCTCCCCCTGCCTCCCCGTCGCCCACGCCCCTGTCGCCCCGGGGCACTTCGCACCTGCGCCTGTCGCCGCTGCGCCTGTCGCCGCTGCGCCTGTCGCCGCTGCGCCCATCGCCGCTGCGCCCATCGCCGCTGCGCCCATCGCCGCTGCGCTCATCGCCGCTGCGCCCTTCGCCGCTGCGCCCTTCGCCGCTGCGCCCATCGCCGCTGCGCCTGTCGCCGCTGCGCCCTTCGCCGCTGCGCCCATCGCCGCTGCGCCTGTCGCCGCTGCGCCCATCGCCGCTGCGCCCATCGCCGCTGCGCCCGTCGCCGCTGCGCCCTTCGCCGCTGCGCCCATCGCCAGTACGCCCATCGGCGCTGCGCCCTTCGCCGCTTCGGCCTTCGCCGCTTCGGCCTTCGCCGCTTCGGCCTTCGCCATCGCGAGCTTCATTTCGTCAACCTCTTTTTTTAGAGCAGCCATGGCCGCCTCCTGCTTCTCCAGCTTCACCGTCAATTTCGCTACTCGCGACGCCATGACCCCTATTGTTGGCTCCTTTGCCGTCCCTCCAGAGATTTCCGCCGGAAACACCTTCACAGGCACGCCGTTCACCATCCGCAGCATGCCTCCCGCCATCGCCATTAGCAATCGCGACCGTACGAATGTCGAATCAGAAAGACAGAGTGTTGTCACAGTATGACTGGTACGGCAAGTACTTGGGGCGCAGGCGGGTTGAAATTGGTTAGAGTTCTCCGAAGCATTCCAAGAAAGTCCGTGTTTAACGATGCTTGCATGGCAGTTTTCACTCTATGTGTCGAAGATGGTATGAACTGATTCTTTTCAAATCAGACTGAGTTATTGCCAGAGTCGCCTAGCATTGCGGACCTGACAGCCTAGCAAGCTCGATTCCAGGCACGCTTTCGTCTTGGGCGTAAAATGCTGTCACGCACCCCCGTTTTAGGGACACAGCAGCAGAGAGAATTGCCGCGGCGCGGGTTTAGGTCTCGCGAATTTTTTTCATCGCGCTAAAATTTTTACACAACCCAAAAGGCACACGTCCCACCTTTTATCGCGAGCGGCGCGCGGTCCCGGCACTTTGTCTGCAAATTGGTAGTGTAGATGTAAGTGTACGGTCAGGTCCGAAGTTTTTGCCAGAAACCCAAACCAGACCCTCCAACATTGTTGGAGCCATACAAGCGTAGTACAGTATTGCCAGGCCTACGTGTGACAGCTCGTACTTTAGGCTCGACAAGGCGCCACCAAGTCGATGGTCCTATGAGCGCCAAATGGCAGTCATTGAGACGATGTGTTAATGAGCAACGGAAACTGAGCACATCGAACGTGGACCAATAAGGTGACGTTTCGGGACGATCCGGGGTTATTCATCACGGTAAACAATGTCAGACAAGTTTCCCACCAAAAACCATGCATGCACCAGTCTGACGTCAACGCGGATGCACTGGCTGAATGTGTTATGACATTTCACAGCAACAAAATGAGCACCAATCGCAGGCAGCCGTTCATGAACAAAGCTGCCCACGTAGTACGTTTATCCCCGTTGCCACATGTGCTCATTAACACCATGCGTGAAACGGCCAACGTGCTAATTACAACGAACCAAGTCCAATCCGCATTTTATCTACAAAGTTTATGAGCATGCCAGCTGCACGCCACCTGGCCTCAGGGGGAATCTACCAATGTGATTCTCACCATTCAGGGACACCCATGAGGGTTTGCCACCCCATGCTTGGCCCTGTGTACAACCTCGATTTGCTAAAGAACAGACCGCGAGCATGAGCGAACGAGGATAAACCAGCACACGGTTCCACGTGGACGGGAATCGGATAAAACGACGTTCGCGACGCGATATGCATCCAATCGGTGCTCGAATTGTTCAGCGTGCAATTCCCGCAAGCGAGTGCAGTTGTTGCCCGTGATTAGTCACAAGACCCCAGGCCCTCGCATTCTTATTCATTGTCATTCTTGCTCATTACCCACCGACCTGTGCTCGATGTTTGGCTTTCCGTTTCAAACAATCTTGCATTAGCAGTCCCGCTCACCGTTGTTCACAAGTTTGAGCCCTTTACTCCTTCGTTGCCGTTAGCCTGAGACTCACCCGCGTTCACCTCTAGCCACTGGAGATGCCTACGGGCCGGCCGGACGACCCAGTCGCACTTGATATCGAGGAGGATGACGACCTATTGGAAGTAGAGGCCACATCGGATCACGGCGGAACGGCCGGAGAGGATGCTACTAAAGTCCCAAGCGGACGCCACTCGCGTAACAGGGGCGGCCAGCACCAAAAACGTCAAAAGACGACTCGTGCAGAACAGCAACCAGCGACCGGCCCGAATACTAGGGCGCACCCGGCATGGGCCACGCCAGAACCGTATTCCTTCCAACCCCCGCCTCCCCCCCAGAAGTCGCTACCACCGGCACAGGATCTTATTGCGGACATGGCAGGGAGCATGAAGCAGCTCCCGGGCATTACCCCGGCGTGCCGAGCTAGGAAGGAACCGTCGGTCAAGAGTGGCAACTGGCCCACGAAGCTGGTTTCTAACTGGCATGGGTTTTCGGCACTACGTTGAACGTTGCCGACGCTCTCCACATGCAGGACGATGCACCAATCACGGACAACGCACTGGACTTCCACAACATGTAAGTTCCGCCAAGTCAATGGAGAAGTTTTATCGCTTGTCAATACTCGCGGATCCATTTTTGTAACACTGCTTCCTTCTAACGGCCGCAACACAACCCCCCTGTTCGTACCCGTACAGCATCCTGGACATCCGCCATCCGAAATTGGGCAACGGAAAACGTGGATCGCGCTCGATGTCAAAGCTTACGACTACTGGGTGTCACAAAAGAAGCTCATCGCATGCTGCGACGACAAGGACTCCTTTTTGCGCTTCGACTATGTGGCAATTTTTGCCGCGGCTGAGTACGTGATCCAATCTCCCGCCCGTGGTTTTGCTAATGGCTAGGGCCCTCTAATCACTACCATCTTCCTCTTTTCAGGTTCCACTTCAGCTTGTTTGTTCTGGAGAACGCAAGCACTCTTGTGACATCATCAGATGGTGGTGAGGAGCTCCCCACCCCCAAGCTGTGGCTGTATGATTCCACAGGTCATCATGCAGCCAACCCTGCAGTCGTCACAAACGTCCGCCTGTAAGTTTAGGCGCTCAAAGGGTGTTTGTAACCGGTTTGGCGCGAAACTAGCTGATCTATTTTCCACGTGCGATGGCAGGATTCTCGCGTCGGAGCTGAACCGTGTCTACCCCCAGCTGTCCCGAACGGACGTCGAGTCCCGAATTGGCTCCATCCCCTATCGCGCACTCGACGTGAGATGCTTGAGTTTCCGGCCTTCGCACATGTCTCCCCCCATAATATGTACTAAACACTCACGGTTGTTATGCGCAGATCCAATTCGAGATACCGCGTCAGCCCGAGAAGAGTCTCGACTGTGGTGTTTACGCCGGCATGTACCTCCACTTGCACGTTACCACCAACTTCCAACACCTCGGCGGACCAATCGCATTCACCACTGCACCCCTGCGTTACCGTCGCGACTGGCGGGCTGACATGTGCGCCTACATATCTGGCAATTTGTTATCTGCCCTTCAAACAGCTGGCCTCACCCTTCCCCCACAGAAGCTCAGCCGTGCAGGTGCCATGCCAACCGGTGGCGACGTCTCGGAGATGAGCGGTGTCGTCCGCGAGACGAGCTCCGACGTGCAGACCCTGAAGAAGGAAGTCGCCGCGCTGCGCGCAGACTATGCCGAGCTGTAGTCAAAGTTCACCAGTGTGAGCCAGCAACTGTTTGAGCGCGTCGGGGCAATGGAGAAGGCTCGGGACACTGCGAAGACCTTAGAGGGCCCGCATGGTGCGCATGGCCCCGGTGACAAGGCATCTCCATCCAAGCGGGTGGACTCTAGTCTCGACCCGGGGCTCAGAGACACCGCGGCCTCCCCCCTTGCAGGATTCCGGCATGCATCGCGGATTGGGGCCGACCAAGACGCAGCTCCGCCGCAGCAGCTCCACCGTGAGCCAGGGTACGCACCTGCCTCGCCGTCACCCGGCCCCGCTCCTGCACAGCCTCATCAGCCTACCGTGCCACCGGGGCGGGACGCGACATACTATCATCCGGGCACATCCCGCGCTGCCCCGCCGCAGAGACCGATCGCTCCACTCCCACCTGCGCCTCCCCCGTCAGGTCCCGTATACCCAGGGTTCTCTGCCGGGCCACCTTATGCTCCACCGCCCGGGATGCCCTTCTTCTGGCAAGGAGGACCCCCGCAGCCCGCACCCCCCCCGCAGCAGTCGTTCCAACCGCCCGCCATCCCGAGTATGAGTGCCGCGGGTGAAGGCGGCGGGGAGTGGGTGCACGACGCCGGAGGCGAGGTTGGTGTGTGCGGGGCTACAAATGATGGCTACAACGGCGGACGTCCCAGGAACAAGTACGTAGGTGTTACCGCGCAGGGAGATGTTTGGGTTGCCAAGCTGTTGATGCCGCCCCCAGGCAACCCCATATGCATGGGCCCTTTCCCGAGCGAGGAGGAGGCAGCCAAGGGATACAAGGCTGCCGCACTGGTGGTAAGGCCGCAGGGTTATCGCATCCAGCGCAGTATTGAACTGACCCCGTCGGAGCACCAGCTGCTCAAAGGGTGCACCAAGCAGCACGTGATGAGCCTCGCCGAGCGTGGCCTCTGGCATAGGTGGCGCGAATGGCGGCAGCTCATGCCGGAGCTTCCCCCGGCTCCACTGCTACAGGTTCCGCACGCCCCCACCATGCTGCCGCCGCGCACGCAAGCACAGCCGAGCAGCAGCGTTGCCACACAACCCCCGGGCATGGGCCACTTACGACCGCATAGTGGTCAGCCGCAATATTTGGATGAGCATCAGGGTTACAACTGAGGTACGATCTTTAATTTGTGCCGCATCCTGTTGTAAACGGTTGATTCTGACCTTGGTATCCTGTGTGTTTTCACCGCAGCTGGATGATGCAAGAGTGTGATACATCGGCGGCAGGAACCAGACTTCGTACCATGTCCCGGATTCTGCAGTAGACCAATCCTCCACTTTGACAGCAGCTTGAGCATGTTTAGATGTTGGGTGTTTAGGCCTGGACGAAATAGCATTGCCGGCATGCCACGGTCGTTGAGCAGTCTTTAGCATGCTATGGCGTGGTTTTTCTAAAAACCCTGAACTCTGCATAGTGGCAACATTTAGACGCTAAATCAACAAACCGCCCGGAGTCTTTGTTTTAACGAAAAGATATGAACGATTGCAGTCATAATACGGTATCGTCAACAAGGTGTGGCAACAGATAATAGTGTTTGTGTTAATAAACGGTTATAACTCGACGTGCTAAATAACTGACCTTAACCACATGCGCCATCGTGCGGCCTCCGAGGTAACACGTAAGACAGAACGTATATTGCATACTGTACCGCGCCCCTCTGGACATGAGGTTTCGCTACATCAGCCTGCACATCACTGGTCCACGTTAGAAAACACCACAACACTCGAATACCGCCGTCGTGCATCTCAAGTCACCGGGTGGGCGCTGTGTTTCGGAACGTGCACCACACAGTACAATTGCGCGCAATTATAGAAACGAGGAACCTTGCACGTCCACGCTAAATGTACGCCTGGAAGATTACCACACAGACAAGCGCTCAAATACATATCACGTCAAAGATATATCACGGACCACCATCACCCAGCTGACATCCGATCATTAGCATTTGCCAAAGGCTCGCTACGATAACCAGCACACACCACAACACTTTCGGCTTAGATTAGCAGACGTATCATGAACACTACTCTATACAGCCCCCAGGTGGCGGAACCTGCTTACAGTGCAGTGGATGGCAGCAGTGCAGCATCCTTGGTGTTATTAGGCGGGGAGCACGACGGTCGGGTGAACGGCACTACGGCTGACCACAACGGTCATAACGAGGCGAAGACAAGCACTATCTAGAATAGGCACTCGTTTGGCATTTCAGTCTCATGCGCAGATTTGGATCGGTTGTCGTCGTACCTGGCCGTGAACGACAACATAGTCGATCTACACAACATGTAAGCATATCAAGCTGGTGCAGAGTTTCCGGAGTGGCCATGTGGGTGACGTAACATGGTTTCTCGTACATCCCTGACAGCTTGCTTGACATACGGCATCCACTACAAGGAAACGGAAAGACATGGATCGCTCTCGACTCCAAGGCCTTCGAGTATATGTCAGATCATGGCAAGCTCATTTCATGCTGCCCGGCTAAACGGTCGTTCCTCGACTTCGACCACGTTGCTATCATGGTCACCGGAAGGTAACAAACCACTGCTAAACCTACGTCACTAAGCACGGCACAATACCATATCCGCCGTCACTAACGCCCTAAGAATGCTTGGTGCAGGTTCCATTTCAGCCTGGTGATAGTCGCGAACGCAACAGCACTTCTGCAAAATCCAAGCCCGCCATGGGCATCGGCCCAGCCGAAATTCTACCACTATGATTCTGCGGGAGTGCATTGCGAAACGGGAATGGAATGGGACATGATTGAGAGGTAACGCGAATAACAATGACACTCCAAGGATGAAGCACCCACATGTCTGTCAAACCAAGCACCCTGAAGTCAACGCTGTGTGCAGGCTGGTCGCCGCGGAGATACAACGTGTCCGGCCTGGACTATGTTCACAGGCTTGTCTGGCCAGGGTGCAGCAAGTCGAATGGCGCATTTTACAGGTACCATAGCGCCCCTGGGAGACTTGCTCGAAGTCTCATTTGTATGCTTATCTAAGGTTCTAACACGCACGCTCCCTATTGCACATGCAGGCATCGGAGATCCCGCAACAACCTCTTGGCAGCGAAGACTGTGGTATTTACACATGCATGTTTCTACGTACCCTAGTTAAACAAGATTTTCAGAACATTGAGGGGCCTCTGTATCTCGAAATGGACCCGGCGGACTATCGGGTCGTCTTACAATCCCAGCTATCGTCACTTCTGTGCGGAGCACTCCCGCTGCAACTACAGGCGGAGGTGTCAGAATAACTGAACGAGGAATGAATGAACTAGCAGTGAAATGAGTACAAGTACCTAACCCTAGAATTGTGTACCCCCTATAGGCTAACCCACTGCAGCCTAAACAAGCACAACACATATAATGTTTGACACACCCCCATAGGCGAAGTGGGGGAGAGCAAGGGGTCACAAGACCAGTCAAAGCAAAGCAAAGCAAGCTCAGGGTGGATCTCAAGGATACCACACAAATTCCGAGCACAAGCAAGTGGTCACAAGACCAGTTCACATGCAGGTTGATAATATAACAAGAGAAACAGTGATAACAACCTAGCAAGTGTAAACATGCAGGCATATATATAAAGATCACAGTACAAGCAGAGTCAAGAAGTAAGCAAGTGAGGTCCAGCAGGCACAAGGCCTAGAAGAGTACAGAAACGCTGATGGTCACAAGGCTGAAGCGCCTTGGTGAACACATCAGCAAGGTTGGCCTCAGTGACCACGTAACGCATACGAAGCTGACCACGCTGCTGCAGCTCTCGAGCAAGGAAGTACCGCAGGGCGATGTGCTTCGTTCTGTGCTCCAGTCTGTGCTCCTCACACAAGGCAATGGCAGCCTGGTTGTCGACGTACAGCACTGGAGGAGAACGAGGCCGCTCTCCCAAGTCGGTCAGCAGGTAGGTCAGCCAGCGTAGCTCCTGGGCAGCCATGGCTGTGGCGTAGATCTCAGCCTCACAACTGGAGCTGAGAACAGAAGAAGAGCGTGTAGAACGCCAAGAAACTGAGCCGGAGCCAAGGCTGAAGGTGTAACCCTGAGACGACCGCTGAGTAGCCTGGTCGTCCGCCCAAGAAGCGTCTGAGTGTCCAGTAAGTACAACTCGGTCTCGCCCTCCAAGCACTAGCCCCATGCCCGACGTACTGCACAAGTAGCGCAACACCCTCTTAGCGGCATCCATGTGCTCCTTCCTGTGACGGCCAGGAGCGACATAGCGCGCAAGGATGCTAAGAGGGTATGCAAGGTCAGGTCGAGTGCAGGTCATCGGGTACATGAGGCAGCCCACAAGCTCTGGATACGGGCCACTCGGCTCTACGGACTCATCCGAAGGCAGAGCTGAGAGCGAGTGACCGGTAGGCAGAGGAGTGGACTGAGGCGAGGAGTACGTGAAGCGGAAGCGCTGAAGGATCTGCTGCACCATGTGTGACTGAGTCAAGGTGATGGTGCGCCGTGCTCTGTCCCGGGTGATCCGCAAGCCAAGATAGCTTGTCAGTTCACCCAGGTCTGTGCACGTGTGTCTCCTCTGCAGCTCCGACTTCACGTGGGCGAGTGCCGCGGTGTCAGCAGTGGCAAAGACCAAGTCGTCGACGTACACGAGGATGTAGAACGGCGGCAGTGAGGTGTCTGTGCGTAGAAACAGTGACGGGTCAGCAGTAGAGGGAGCGAACCCAAGAGCCGCAAGTGTCGTCCTCAGTGTGTCATGCCACTCACGTGGTGCCTGGCGGAGACCGTAGACCGGCCGCTGAAGCCTCCACTGGGTACCAGGAGGAACCGACCCAGTGAAGCTAGGAGGGCGGCGCAGCCAGATCTCCTCGTGCAGGCTGCCCTGCAAGAAAGCAGTGCTGAAGTCAAGCGAGTGAAGCTCGTAGTCGCGCTGAGCGGCTATGTGCAGCAGCACCCGAAGAGTGGTCATCTTCGGGGTGGGGGAGAAGGTCTGGAAGAAGTCAACTCCCTCTCGCTGACTGAAGCCTCGAGCCACGTAGCGTGCCTTGAAGACCGGAGGAGAACCCGGTGGCCGCTTCACCCTGAAAATCCACATGCCACTGACGATGTTCGCCCCAGGTGGGGGAACCTCGTCGACGTAGGTGCGTGTGGACTTCCAGGAAGCCATCTCTGCGTCCATGGCTGTCTGCCACTGAGAGGAGTAGGGACCCGCCATCGCCTCAGCGTAAGTGCGCGGGGTCGGGATGTCTGGTGCATCCGGGTCTCCCTCAGGGGCAACTAGCATGGACACGAGGTGGGGTAAAGCAGCAGCAAAGCACTGGAACTCCTCCTGTCTGTCCTCAAGGACGTCCGTGCCAAGAGCACACTCACCCCCGACGGACGGAGGACAGACAGACTCAGACTCAGACTCAGCAACAAGGCTAGTGGCGTAGTCTAGACGACACCGGGCAGCAAAGTCGATCAACTCAGCGACTAGAGCAGACGCAGCAGAGGACTCAAAGGTAGGGTCAGTGACAACAGTAGCGAGGAGACGGGTGACAGTGGGACTGGCAGCACGACGGGAGTCAGACTCCGGATCAGGAAGAGTAGGCAGAGAGGACGCAGGAGGAGACGGCAGCGGAACACGCTGAGGAGCAGTGGAGGGACGCAGAGTCATGTAGTGAGTGCCAGGGACAGGAGGAGGATGCTCACGTGGGACACGACGACCAGTGCGAGCAGTGCGAACAGGCGACGCGGGACGAGACGCAGGCTCACGACGCTCTGTAAGACCTCCCGTGGGACCAGTGTAAGGAGAGGGAGCAGGGAGAGGCGAGGCAGGCGGGAACTGTGACTGCGACTGGACAGGCGGAGGACACTCTACGGAGGGAGGAGGACAAGGAGGAGGAGCCTGACCAAGAACCTGCTGAAGAAGTGGTACGAAGTACGGTCGCGGCCGCGTAGCGTCTCCAGAACCAGCAGAGACACCAGCGGCAGGGTCCTCAGCACCAGCAGCAGCTCCAACGTCCGGGTCCTCAGCACCAGCAGCAGCTCCACCGCTCGGGTCCTCAGCACCAGCAGCAGCTCCACCGTCCGGGTCCTCAGCTCCAGCAGTAGCTCCAACGCCCGGGTCCTCAGCACCAGCAGCAGCGCCACCGCTCGGGTCCTCAGCACCAGCAGCAGCTCCACCGTCCGGGTCCT